ATACTTAAATGATGTAAAAATGATATTAAAAAATTCGGGGCAAATTTGCCCCTATTTTGCATACGGATTAAGGGATACCATACGCTTTATTTTTAAAAAAAATCTTAATTTAAACCTTAAAATTCTGTAATTGTTTAGTCTACCCAGATCATCAAAATTACCACATAAAATAACAATAGCATTTCTAAAAAGATTAATACTAATTTTACCAATGTCATGAAAAAGAAAATTTTAATTGTATAATGTTAAATCATATTTATGAAAAACAAAACAAAAAATCCCAATTTAATCCTCTTCACAAGTATCCAAACTAAACTCTTCGAATTCACCACCAATACACAAATTAATCACTAGAAAATTCCTGCAGATTCAAGTGCTAATATTTTTGCAATTTTTTGCGTGTTAATGCCCTTACTTGTATACATATGGTCTGGATTTTTTGGTGAATTAAATGATAAATCACTAACTATTTGATCATCTTCCAAAAACTGTTTTGTAATTTCGTCTACATCATCTAAGCCTTTTATTTCATCAAGACAAAAACTAATTTGTTTTTTAATTTCGTCTGCGTAATCTAAACCTTTTATTTTATCAAGCCAATTATTGATTTGTTGTTTCATATTGTCTACATTATCTAAACCGTTTATTTCATCAAGCCGATAATTGATTTGTTCTTTAATTTCGTTTACATCATCAGATCCTTTTATTTTATCAAATTTGCTTTTTAATTTCATCTACGCTATCTAAACTTTTAATCTATCAAGCCAATTATAAATGTTGTTTATGTCATTTGAGCCTTTTATTTTATTAAGCCAATAATTAATTTCATGTTTTTTAATTTCGTCTACGTTATGCGAATCCTTTATTTTATCAATTAGCTTCATTATTTCGTCTTTATCAACTGAATCTGTTGCTATATTATGCCAAGAAATAATCTCACGTTCTTTAAATTTCTTTACATCATCTATAATTTTTATTTTATCAAGCTTATTTTTAATTTTATTTTTTACAATGCTGTTTGCCCAATCTGAACCATTTATTTTATCAAACCAATGGTTAATCTGTTTTTTAATTTTGTCTATATCGTCTAAATCCTTTATTTTACCAAGCCAATTATCGATTTGACTTTTAATTTCAGCTATGTATTCTGAAACTTTTATTTTATCAAGCGTATAGTTAATTTGTTTTTTGATTTCGTCTACGTCATCCGACCCTTTTATTTTATCAAACAAATAGGCGATTTGTTTTTTAATTTTGTTTACATCATCTGAATCCTTTATTTTATCAAGCCAATAACTAATTTGA